GTTCAAACCCACCAGCCACTCCTCAGAAGGAAGGTTGGGCAATCTACTTCCATAGTGATACTGCCTCAGAAACCCAAGGAAGGCTCACTAGGAGTTGGATTCAACTCGACAGCTGATGTGTTGCATTTTAGAAATTTAGTTACACATGGCTGGATGGTTCACGATCTGACTCATCACGGAAAGTGGGAAACACTTAAAGGAGTGACAGCACCTCCATCACCACACGTCAAAGCCTGTGTCGCTCTGAAACCGGGAGGGAACACTGGGGCCTGGATCTTCATACTAGAAAGGACAAGGGGACAAACAAAAGACACTAAATTCCAGTAGGTTAAACATCTCACCCAAGAAATTAGAGCAGAAAACTCATGCTGAGAAGAAGAGGAGGGCAGAGATAACAAGGGAAAGAGAAGAAGTTAATAAAAGAAAAAAAAATGTGACAGAGAAAATGAACAAAGAAAAAATCAGGTTCCATGCAAAGCCCATAAAACCGTCAAACCTGCATGAGCTCTCATGGATGTGGAGAGGACATGAGAGAACATGGATGGGAGAGGACACAGGAGAACATGGACAGGGAGGACACGGGAGAACATGGACAGGGAGGACATGGGAGAACATGGACTGGGAGGACACGGGAGAACATGGACGGGGAGGACACGGGAGAACGTGGACTGGGAGAGGACAGGAGAACATGGATGGGGGAGGACACGGGAGAACATGGACTGGGAGAGGACATGGGAGAACATGGACGGGGAGAGGACACGGGAGAACATGGATGGGGAGAGGACACGGGAGAACATGGATGGGGGAGGACACGGGAGAACATGGATGGGGAGAGGACACGGGAGAACATGGACGGGGGAGGACATGGGAGAATGTGGACAGGGAGGACACGGGAGAACGTGGACTGGGAGAGGACACGGGAGAACATGGACGGGGAAAGGACACGGGAGAACATGGATGGGGAGGACACAGGAGAACATGGACGGGGAAAGGACACGGGAGAACCTGGATGGGGAGGACACGGGAGAACATGGACAGGGAAAGGACACGGGAGAACATGGATGGGGAGGACACGGGAGAACATGGACGGGGAGAGGACACGGGAGAACATGGATGGGGGAGGACACGGGAGAACATGGATGGGGAGGACATGGGAGAACATGGGCGGGGAGGATACGGGAGAACAAGAGGGGAGCTGAGGGACGCGGTTACAGGTACCGCAGAGATTAAATGCACAGGAAAAGAGAACCGTAGCAACTTCATGACCAGAGGAAATGGCTGACTTCCTGGAAGAACACTACAGAACCTGGGGAGAAGTCAAACTTGTTAAGAGAAGTAAGAATAAGTCCAACAACAGGTGAGCAAAACGCTACCAAAAACCCAAACCAAACCCACTGCCGCAAGTCGATTCCGACCCACAGCAACACCCAACTGGTTTCCGAGCTGATAAATCTTTACGCAAGGAGATGCCCAGTCTTCCTCCAGTGGAGTGGCCATTGGGTTTGAACTGCCAACTTTCTGGTTAGCAGTCAGATGTCTTAGACAGCAACAGAGAGAGAAAAAAAAAAAAAGAATAAAGAGACCGAAATTCATGTGGTCGTTGCCATGTTCTGGAAGAGGAAGCTGTAACGTCTTAAAAGTGTCAGTTGATTTAAGAGGAAGGCCAAAGTCAGAATAGGTCAACTTTGTTAAAGACATTGAACCACTGGTGAAAATGTCCCCACCAAACACAAAGGGAAGCAAAGTCATGACTTAGGGGTTCAAAGAATTACATTGTGGGGAGTGATCTCTAACACAAAGATAATTTCACATTGGAAAACCGACTGATATAACAATTCATGCTCATGTACAAAGAGGGTTTAAGATTGAAATATACAGATAGAGACCACTCATAGGAAAGAAAAGTCTCGCAGGAACGGGTCTTCCAAAAACCTCATCCTCGACAGTGAAATGGTAGAAGGTGCAGCAGAAACACCAGCCCTCAGCTTCTGCTGCCCACTGTCCAGGGGTCCGGCCAGGGCTGTAGGCAAAGAAAATGGGGTGTGCGGGGGTGGGGTGAGCGGCAAATAGGGAAGAAACAAAGATATCGTTAGCCGCACACACATAACTCCAGGAAACCCAGGGGAAGCTACAATTCTAAGTTATTAGGATGAAGATTTCAGTAGCTGGATATACGCTGCCTTATTTACCAGAAACCAAGACTTAGGAAACAATCTTTAAAATAACATTCCCACGGGAAATTTAAAAGCATAAGATAACTACAAGTGTTGCTAGGCTCTGTCAAGTCAACCCAACTCCTAGTGATCCCATGTGAAAGAAAAGAACTGTCCCCTAGTGTTTCCTAGGCTGCAGTCTTTGTGGGAAGGAGGTCTGGGGGTACAGTGGGGAAGGCTTTGGCTGCTAACCAGAAGGTCGGCAGTTTGAACCCACAGAAGAAAGCTGAGGCAATCCGCTTAAAGATTGGAAATCTGTGGGGGCCGCTGTGAGTCGGAGTCGACTTGATAACGCTGAGCTTGGTTCGGGATCTTTACAGCAGCAGAGTGCTCTGAGCTGCAGGGGGCTAGAGTCA